CTACAAAGGCAGTTTGGGTGAGCTCTAACTTGATTTAAATAGTTTGCACTCTTCATCTGTACTTTCCCACTGGGATCTTCCAACCTTCTTTTCCAGAGAAATTTCCATTTTAGTTCTGAATTTCAATCTTAATTATCTATCCCTTGTTAGTTTCCAGGATGATTCTTGGTGTTCCTAGATCATTGCCAAGGCACAAGTCTCATATCTTGCCGTAAACATTTTGAAAGGAAAAAAAACCTACAAAGTTTGGTTGAACGGAATAAACTTTCTTCACCTTAGAGAACTAAAGCTAGTAATAATTGAATCATACCTTATATTTGAAGTTGTATATCACAATAATATGTCCCATTTATGTGCTCCATTATTAACTACAAAGAAACAGTTGGCTATTTGTGCTGCATCAGAATGAAAACTTTTATTCATTCTTTTGACTTTTCAAACACATGCTAGTTCATTATTTTAATAAAATACACTAACAGATGTTAGGCGGAATGTGGCCACATCTGGGACATATAAAATACCATTCCAAGTCACCATAGGAGGGAAATAGCAATATTGTTTAGTTCTCCCTAAAAGTCTAACCAGCCCATCTCATTTAATCTGTTGAACTCGTTGAAGTTGCACAGTTAAGAGTAGCACCAATTATATGGGTTGTCCAGGGAATATAAAAAGGAACAATGAGCTAGAACACCAAGGGAAGTATCACAAAAAGAAATGCACTATGGTGGAACACAAATAAAACCTCACTGAAGCTCGTGGCTAGAGCTGTATTTTTTCAGCTGAAGAGGTTGTAAATCTTGAGTCGCCTGCTTCCTGAAGCCACCTTGAATTATAGGCCTCTTTAGGCCTTTCTACAACGTCCCATCTTAACTTGACCCTTTCAATGAAAGCACAACACATCTAAAAGATGCCAAATAAAGATTTTGGTAGAAGATATATTTTGACAATTATATATAAACATATATGTGTGGAGAGAGAGAGAGATGGTGATTAAATCTTAAGCTATTCCAGTCTTCTACCTTTTAGTTTTAATTTTGTTTTGTTTTCTGGAAACAGGTTTCCTAGGAAAACCAAAACAGAACCTGCTGGTTTTCTGTCAGTGGATCAGGTTCATATACTATTATATTTAGCATCATCTCTGGCTTCTTGAAAATAGACCACACTGAGGATTGGAATAGAGATTAGTGTTGAGAGGAAGCTCTGGAGATGTTTGTCTCACACACTGCTTACTCTTTAGAAAGAAGAAACATGCCAGAGTTGCATATGCAGCACAGAGTGTGGAGGCACGTGTGGTCTGATGGAAAGTATCCTGGACTTGGAGTCAGATGACCTAGATTTTGGCCTCAGCTCTGACACTTACGAGCTCAACATTTGGGAGAGTTGGTTAACCACAGTAGTCACATTTCTCTTGTCTATAAAGTAGGAACAATACCTTGGAGGATTGCTCTGAAGATCCACTGTAATAATGGATATAAAAGTGCTCTGTAAACTGTGATATATACATAGCTCATTACTAACGGGCTGTAGGTGGCCTGCAATCTCCACCTCAGATGAGTAGATAACAATTAGATACATGGAGCACAACTGAAAGGAAATCTATGTGGTGGGTAGAGGATAGGCAGGCGTGAATTTCGATTTAAGACACTGCCTAAATAGAGAAAGCCTCTTGGGGGACTAAATGCAATCATGATAGAAATTTCTGCTCTTAAGTGATAAAAGTTAGGCAAACCAAGCTCACATGTACTATTCTATTTCACATATATACCAGGATCAGAGATTCCCAGTGTTCCATTCTCTTAACACCTATTTATTGAGTGTCCACCGTATCTGCCAAGCATTGTGCTAGTCTCTAGGTATACACTAGTGGACAAGATTTCTGCTCTCAAGGAACTTATGTCCTAGTCACAGTATTATCTTTATTCCAAGCACTTGGCAAAGTGCTGGCACACAGAAGATGCTCAATAAAAGTTGGTTGAGCTGAACTAATTTTTCTAATTTTGTAGTATTACCATAGCAGAAAGCCAGTAAAGCGGTGATTTTTGTGATCAGAGATGCCTACTCAATTCACTGTTTGATTAACAGGGCACTGCTTCTGAAGTTTTGAGGGAAAAGAATCTTTTTAACTAGAGTTCTTCTAGTCATCCATCTATAATATGATACTTGTATTATATAGTGTTAATTTAGTGTTTTCCTACTTAATATATGATTATTACTTCCAATTACTACATTTAACATGGAGGCAGAGAGTTAGTAAAAATGTTTTTCAGGGTGGTATCCTTTATGTCACGTGAAAAAATTAGCAAAAAGAATGAAGGCTGGATATGTCAAATCACTGTTGATAGTCTGTGGACTTGATGTTGATTTAATCTGCAGTTAAAAGAGAGAGGTAGAGGGGCTGGCCCCGTGGCCGAGTGGTTAAGTTCGCACGCTCCGCTGCAAGCGGCCCAGTGTTTCATTGGTTTGAATCCTGGGCGTGGACATGGCACTGCTCATCAAGCCACGCTGAGGCAGCGTCCCACATGCCACAACTAGAAGGACCCACAACGAAGAATACACAACTATGTACTGGGGGGCTTTGGGGAGAAAAAGGAAAAAATAAAATCTTTAAAAAAAAAAAAAAGAGAGAGGTAGAAAATGGAAAGTCCATTCTATTTACATGATAGTCAACTCCTAACAAGTACAGAGAGTTTATTTTTGAAAGCATAACTTTCTTGAAGCCACTCAAGAGAGCTGGTGTTATGGACTAAAACTTCTGGGAGTTTTTTCTTAATATCTAGGAGCTGACTGATGGGGTCAGGGTGGTTGACATTATCGTTGTTCACCAATATCCCCACTTCTCCTCCCGAGCTCGGTTCAAGGACTCAGTTCAAGGACTTAGTCCCCTTCCAGATGGAAGAGGCTGTGTAACTAGTCTTGGCCAATGAAACGTGATGAGTGATCTGTTTCCTTTCCAATCTAAGACTGTGAAAAATTCATAGTCACATTCTCCCTCTGCCACAGAGACTCAGTTGCTGTGTTCTAGGCCATACAGTTAGAAGATGGTGGACCCTCTGGCAATCTGGTTCCTGGAACAGAGTAAGTCTGATCCGCACGAAGCATGAAGCATGAGCAAGCAATAAACTTTTGTTGTGTCAAGGCATGGAGATTTTGGAGATGTTTGTTACAATACCATAACATAGGACTGGTGTTATAACATAGTACATAAACTTTCCTGATTCATATAGTCAGGGAAGGCCCATAGTACTCTCCGCGCCAAGTTTCTGAGTAAGAGATAAAATGGATAATATGAGTTCCATTAATTTGTCAGTAATGTCTTTCACATTAAGGATGCTAGCCTGAGGTCTAGCTTTTTAATCACATTTATTCCAGATATCCCATAAGTTTTCCATTTTTCCACTAATTCTCCTGTGAATCTTTTTTAAGTACTATATTTAACTTTCATCCATAAAGTTTCCGTGCTTTCTACAAATGATCACTTTTCTCAAAAGCAACTGAATTTCTTCATCTAATCACACATCATGATTTTCATAAGCATTTTAACTAGAGCAAGAGGTTCTGAATTAATGGAACTACACATGCAGTCATCATGAATAAAGAAGGGAGATGCATCTGCAAGTGCACTCTCTCTCTAGAAAGTGGATGCTCACAGGAAGAGAGCAGCAGAAGCATTCCTGATTATTTTGATTTTTTTTTCACATTGGAGGAAGAGCTTAAACTTGAAGGACTTATAGAGTCTTGAGAGCTGTCATTTCTTATTTTAAGCTACAGACAGTAGGTGAAAGTTTTCAAGTCACCAAAAAAGAATAATGCTTTGTTCTTGTTTAATGGATTGTTAGGTAGGACACATGTGCTGTCTTTAATATTTTAATGCCTGTCCTCCCTCTTTCTACCTATCCAAAGCTATGTGTCAGTCCTATTCAGAGCCTAGCTCCACAGGAAACTGTCCCTGAACATGCCAGCTGGAACTGATCCTTCTCTTTTCCAAAATCCTATGTAAATTCATACCATTTATTTGGCATTGCTTGTAGAGAGTTTTAGAGAGTTCAAAAGCTGGAAAGGACCTAAGAATCATTCAACACAATTCTCTCATTTTGCAAAGGAGGAAAATAAAGTCGAGGAGTTATGTAATTTACTTAGGTCACATAGTTAGAGACACCTTGGAGGCTATAAACCCAGTTTGCTCAGTTCCCAGTGCGGTCCATTCCTTTATGCCACAGGTGCCTTCACATTTACTGTCTGGTGATGGCGCTTAGCTTTTCAAGAGAACATGGCATCTCACCGGTAGCACATTATGAGGTCAGGGAACTCTTTCATCTCTTTGTTACTTCTTCAGTTATAGCTTAATTTATACGCATTGTATATAATTTTTGGAGACTAACTGGTTGTACTGTAGGCAATGATTACACCTGTTTAATCTATTACCTCTTATATTCTCAAGTTCAGTCGATAATACTGGCAGGGGCCAAGGAGGTAGGAATCAAACAGCAGCAAGGTAAATAGTAAGAGCTGATGAGAACGATCAGAATGCTTGCAGTCGTCCAACAACATACTTCTAGAATTGAAGGTCCTTTTCCCTGGCATCATTAGATCTTGTGGGTTCGCTCTGCAGTGATGCAAAGTGGGTGTTTGTTGAACTGGGGTGCCAGGGTGCCAAAGTTCAGGTAAAGTTCTAGAGGTGAACGCCTAAGGAGGATTTCTACCGGGCAGGATGGGTGCAAGAACAGGAGGCAATCACGACAGAGCAGAACTCGGAGCCCGAACCCCAGCAGCCGGACAGGGAGGGGTGATGGGGCGCCGAGGCCGGGGCAGAAAGGCTGCAGGAGGCAGACGGCCGAGAAGGAGACGGCGCCGCCCGGGGTCTGCGTGGGCCCGCGGAGAGCGGGGGGCGGGGCCGGGGCGGGGCGGGGCGGCGGCTCGGGCCTCCCGGCGGCACGCGGCGGCGCCCCCTCCCCTCGCGCCGCGGGCCTCCCCGCGCCTTGCACGTCCCCGGCCCGCCCCTCCGCCCCTCGCTCGCTCCCTCCTTCCCGCCCTCCCCGCAGCGCCGGCCGGGCCGGCTTCCCCTCGGTCTCTCATGAATATTGAGCGGCCCCTGTTGTATTTCCCGAGCTCCATTGCGGAAGCCGAGGCTCGCCATATTGTGCGGCGGCGCCGGCGGCCGCGGCGCCTTGTCCCCGAGTCTCGCTCCGCCGCGGCCCGAGGCGCCCCGGGCTGGGGCAGGAGCCGGTGAGAGGGGCTGGCGGGGAGGCGGCGGGCGCGGGCGCGGGCGCGACGGGCCGGGGCGCGCGGCGGGGAGGCGGCGGGCGGCTGACGGCAGCCCGGGGGCCGGGAGGGGGGGTGGTGTGTGGCCGCGGGGGTGTGAAGGGAGATGGCGCCGCCGCCCCCGGCCGCGCTTGGGCCGGGGAGGGCGGGGGACGCGGTTGCTCATTGTTCCCGTTTCTCCGGGGGTCTTGGCGGGGGTGGGGAGTCCGGCTTGTGGAGGACCGAGTGGGCGAAGCTCAGGGATTCCTCCTCGGCTGCGAACCCCGCGCCGCCCGCTCCTGGGCGCCGAGGCCGGGCTGCGCTGCGGCCCCTGGCCTCCCGGGGCTGGGGCGCCCTCCTCAGCGGCCCCCCTCGGAGGCAAACGCTGGGGAATGCGGGTTTTTTTCCTCCGGCTCTCCCCCCCTCCCCGCACCGTGGGGGTGGGGTGGGGGCGCTTTGTGCAAATAGTCCCCTTGGCCCCCGGGATGCTGGAGTCGGGGTTCGCGGGTGGAGGCGCTGCTCGGCTACAGGGTTCCTCGTAGGCTGCGGGGAGACCCCTCCTGGTTAAAACATTCCTGGAGTGCCGCCTGCCTGCTCGGGAGTATCTGTTGCTGCTTTCTAAAACCGCGAGGTTGCCCCGGAGGAGTCGGAGGGGAGGGGAGGTCTTGCTTTCTTTCTAATGGAAGCTTCGCGTTTTGAACTCGGTCGTTTACGCTGAGATTTTGGGTACCCGACGTCGCCGGGGAGCCCTCGTCCTCGTTGTCAGGATCGTTCCCTTCCTGCAGAAGTAGCCTGCCTGCTCCCAGAGATACTGTTAGTAAAAATGTGGTCTCTGAAACTTCGGGGTTCATTCTTGTTATTTGCACGCTTACACCACTTACAGGCTTATCTTGTTGATGCCTTTTTGGGTGTCTACTGCCTGGCTGTCATAAGTTTTAGAGGATGTGTGCCTTTCCGTGGTAAAATGGTTTGAAAATGTCAGCCGTCCTTGAGGTGTGCAAAGGAATTTGTTTGCTGTGAAAAGGATAGGTTTGCATTCAGTATTTTAGTAATATGCTTTATTTCCTTTAAAAATTAAAAAAGTCGAGACATGGTTTCAGTGTTTTAAATTGAGAATTATGTTTAAAACTAATGTATGAGTGATTTGTATTAAATCTACTTTCAGTAATTCCAAGACGATCAGCTGCAATACTTAGTGTGATGGGCAGATAATCTACTTTCCCCACTTGCATTAGGGTATGGTTGTTATATATTTTAATAACCTAGATTGGTGTTAGTTCTTGGTTCCTAAAGTGAATATTTGATGCTTTCATTTAGAAAGAATTTAAATGGCAGCCATATGATTCTTGGTTATTCGTTTTTTCTCGTCATATTTCCCCTGATATTCCTAATCAACAGGTATCTTTTAAAATCTTGATTGTACGCTTAATGTTCTTTATAGTGAAATAATGAGTAGTTATATAAGACTCCATTTTCCAGGGAAAGCACAGCAAATATGGCCCCTCACTTTTTCTAAGGATTTGAGTTATTTCCTTCAGGGACCCTTGTGGAATCCACATTTGAGGTTAATTATAGTAGGTGTGAGAGTGAAATGGAGAATTTATGAAGGAAAACTGCCCGAGTAGGCTGGTCTGTTGAAGCGTTTGAAAAATATGCTGATGGTCCTCAAATGTGCTGCGTAGAAAAATTTCAAATTAGAACCACTAACATAATGTAGACATTGTAGGCATTCAGAATACTGAGAATTTTGAGGTTTTCTGTGCCTGTGTGGAGCACGCAGTCAGCTAGACCCCAGGTTTGTGTGGACAGAAATAGAGAGCAGGTCAGCAAACATCTTTGGAATTTCGTTTGTCTATTGCTAACCTTCAGTGTGTGGTGTCAGGTCTATCTCTTTAGTCTGATTTATTCATGATTTATATTTATATTATGCAGTCTTTGGAGTAAAGGTGATATATGACTAATGAATAATATATAACCAGATGTTTCAGTGACAGTTTCATTTCTATACGTTAGCAAAAAAGTGTAATTCCTTCCAGCAAGAAAAGTGAGTTAACATTAAAATGCACTTCATTAAAATTACGGCAGCATTTCTAGTATGAGTTAAAGCACCTCATAATTTTGTAGCGACTCATTTATTAAATCTGGAGAACCTAAACAATGCATTATAGTTTGCAGTTTTTAAAAAAGGAAAAATACTATGAGATTGTGTACATTCTGCACACATACAGATCTGCACTTGATTTTAATTAGTGTTGTTTTTACATATGTTGTGGAAGACATTGTCATCAGACACCAGTTATTTAATTTCCTGATTTTCTTTTCATTTCTCTGAAATCTTAGTTATCATAGTAACTTACTGAATGTTTATTTGTATTTAACTGAGTAGCTCCCCATATAATTTGGGTAAAAAAGGTAAAAAACATTTACCCTGTCCGTTCCTGCAGGTCCAGATATCTTGTCTATTCCCCACGAGCCTGTCACCTTTTCTGCCTAATGTTTCAGATGGGTCCTCTGGTGTCACTTGTTGAGTACCGTTTGGTTGATTTTACATGGATGTACTGACTGGTAATGGAACTCTTGGCATTTCAGTAGAAGCTCGTGTTAGTATGTGCATAGGCAGGAGTTCGATGATGAGTCTCTGACTTTAGAAATGCTGGGTGGGTAGGTGGTCCATTATCCAGTTTTATGCTGTGTGGAGGAACTCCAGTGGAATTGGCCATTGACTTTGAAGTTTCAAATTCTTTTCACGTCTCTTTTATCTCTCAGATGTTAGGCAGCTGAAGCGGACTGGTGTGTCTAGACCTAGTGATAACTCTTGTTGCACGCTCAGCAGCTATATACATTACTAAAAATTCCAAGAAAGATTTCTGTTGCTTGAATTTTCCTTCTCTCGTTTCATTTAGAGTATGGGTTAGCAACGTTTATTGCTTCTATTTATCTGCCATTTTGTCACAATTTTAAAAAGTCAGTTTATTAAGTGCAATAATGAAAAGTTATTTTTGAAATTAACCTCAGATTAAATTGTCTAATGAGGGCATCTTATTAAGTGAAGCAACAGACCATATGAAAAGTATCAAAGCATTGTCATTTGTTTTAAAGAGATGTTTTGATTATGGACACTCCTGCAAGGGGATTTTCTTTTTGTTTCTATGCTATAGAGTGGAGTTGTATTTTATGAAGAGGTTAGATTCTAAAGTTAGTGTGTAAAATGAAAATTACATGTAGTTAAAAAATTATGCTTGAAAATCCCTTAGGAAGGGAGAAGAACATACCAGTAAGTTCAGCTCAGCTTTAGTGTTGAAACAGATCGCTGTTTCTTTTGTTGAACACTAGATGAAGTAGTTAACTTGCATTTAGGGACCATGTTGAACAACAGCAAAAAAGGAAAAGTCTTTAAATATAAGAATCACATTCAGCATGGCATAATGCTCACACTAGCAGAGGCTTGTGGGAACTGAGACCACTGTGGAATAGCAGATCAGCTCTGCCATCTCAGATTTTCTCTATGATATGTGCTCTAGTGAAAGGAGATGGCTGTGTGTGCTTGGATAGCCTGCACTATTTAAATATTTCTTTTTTTTCTTTCCAAGCTGCATAGTTTAAATTACAAAAGTTAAGTGATTTTTATTCTGCAACATAACAGACACAAATTTAAAGGGTTTTGAGTTATTCTTTATAAAATACATTTTATCAATAGGAATAACCCTTCACTGAAGCAGCAGGTTATCTCAGAGGATAGCGGTTGGAATCACTGTGTTTAACAATGTGTTAGTGTCCAGTAAAGAAAACGGAAACTTCAATAGGGATTTCAACAGAGGAGATTTGATATAGGGAATTGGTTAGATGGGCATAAGAGCAAAAAGAGGACCCTCTGGTATCAACCTAAGAGCTCAGAGAAGAGGTTCTGTTGGCCCAGTTCGGAACCTTTGAGGTCATCAGTGTTGTTCAGCTGCCAATAGGGCTAGTTCTGGGAGTACTGAAAGAAGCCGGAGGCTAACCTGATTGCTGCTGCCAGGAAGTGGAAGAAAGTCCCCTCACCCTTCTTCCTGCTTTCTAGTCTCCATTTACTACCTCCATTGGCAAAGCCTAACAGAAAGCCCGCCGGCAGAAGAGTCAGTGAAATATACTTGTGCAGTCTCAGCCACAGCACCATAGAGCAAAGTCTAGAATTGTGGTTTTGGAGTTGAGAGGCACTGAGTAAATGACCTGCACAAGTAGTCTAAGTTAAAATACTATAATTTAAATAAGAAATTCTGTCCTTACCTTGCCTGTTCAAAAAACATTTATTAATTATCTTCTGTGTCCCAGATGCTGTGCTAGAGATTAGGGGTAGAAAAATGAATTGAGCAAGGTCTCCATCCTTGAGGAATTTACAGTCTAAGTGGGGATGACAAATAAACTACAGTACAGTTTGTTATATGCAGTCACAGGTGAGTGATGTGCTTTGGGAACCCAAGGGACATAGCAACCTACTTGCCTCTTCTCTGCCTAGCTACACTTAATGACTACTATTTTTATTTTTATCTTGATCAAATCCAGCTTTATTCTCTCTGATTGCTCTGTTCAGCCCAACTCCTATGAAAGCTCTTCCTTAGATGCTTCAGTTTTGTCATATAATCATAATCATTATTAGTTAAGCATCTCTCTGTGCTTTATTTATCCAGATTGTAAAGACCATCACTTTGTCTGTACTTTTAGCCTGTTTCCTAAAAATAAAAACATGTAGCTTCTTTTTACATTGTTCTTTTTAACTGTCCACTCTTTGTCCTTTTTTCCTACTCCCTGTGTTGATTACCACTACCTCTATTAACTGTTGTAAAATCTGCAGTACTTCATTTTGAATTCTTTTTAGAAGAATGTTCTGCTTGTTTCCCCCTTCGTACACACACTATGTTGATTTAACCTAAAACCAGCTGATTCTTCACTTTTAAAAAGATGTATGCCTCCATGCCAGTAATTGCATTAAACCCTTACTATTTACACTA